AATAGCCTTATACCCATTTCTTAAAGAGCATTCAATAGCCTTATGCCATTTCGCTCTCCTCTTGATCATCATAAAATGTTACCATATTCTTTTCTTTATTATCAACCACTTTGCTATGAGAATGTGAGTGTGGATGTATATGGTATTGATGTCACACCTAAACTCATATTCACATCCACACCCCAACTGTCACTCACACTCTATAAAATGAAAGTATCAGATACTAATATTTTTCTGAATGAATGAAAAATAGATAAAAATAAATTGAGTACTCATCTGATCTGATTTTATATGTGATTCAATTCGATTCTAGTCAAAATTGACTTGACTTGTGAGGAAAAAATGATGATTTGTACATCTCTGCAGTCATCGCCATCGAAATTTATTTTGCTTAAATCTTTACTTGATTACTTTGAAATTCACTAGATGAATAACGTTGATATTCCAAGATGAAATGTTAATAAAATTAATATGAGCACGAAAAATAATGCTGAAGGTTTAATACTTCAAGCAGTACTACTCTTTCTATTATTTTTATGTTTGAAGAATTTTTGGTTTATTAAATAAAATTCTTAAAAAATTCATCAGTATTCCTCCTTATTGAGAAATTTTAATTTTCAATATTTTCTCTTCGATATTTTTCTTTTCTTTCTTGTCCGTTCATTCTAAAGCAACGTTTGTTAAAATACAAAAACAAAATAAATAAAACTGCAGAAAATAAAAGCTATCAATTGATCGCACAGAAAACACAACACCAAACAAAAATTAATAATATAACCAAAAATAAGAATAAAAGAATAGTTAAATAAAATGAAAATGAATAAAGTTATATGTAGCACTCTGTCCCTCGATTATGATTAAAAAGATTGAAAGACAAATAGAAGCAAAAGACGTATGAAACTTTCATTCGTAACAGGATTAAAACAATACAGAATGAAAAGAAAAAGTATTCTTGACAAATCTTTTTTTCATTATTACCATTCCATAAGGACGAGTCGTAAAACTGCAAAAAATCCGTTTTTCGCTCATTGATTACATTGAGCAAACTCTGCTGTATTGTAAGCCCAGTTGTTATCTTGATAAGCATCTATAACATCTTGGCATGTGTTACAGCAGTTAGATGAGGCACCATAACAAAAACCACAAACTAATCATCAAATAAAGGATAAACATATGATAAGAAATATGAAAATGATTCGTATTCTTTTCAAACTAAACTAATAAAATCCTAAATAGAGTCGAACTCACCAACTTTTTAAAACTTTCAAAGTAAATCGAGGCAAACGATTCAGATTTAGATTATCACTCTCTAATCAAAATTCTCAGATTATCTTAATAATAATTCTATTTCATTTTGCTGAATAAAACTAGTATAATCATTTCGTAAACGACTACTTTTTGATAAACTTCGTGTAAAATCTAAAAGTTCACTTTGACGAAGGTTAGTATTTCATACAAATATCTCTCACTTGGTTGCATAGGTGGTGGACATATATTTTGGCTAGACATTGATATTGGATAACAAACAGGACGATCATGACATCGAGGATGTCGAACACAGACTGTGTTAGGTTGATGACATTTATTGTTTGAAACGTCACATGTCTCAAGTGTAGAACAAGTCGCCCAAAGAAAAGCACAAATGCCATTTTCAGTAGCATTTGTCTTAGAAAAGCAGCCACAGGCACTATTTGTTGAACATCGATCATATTGTGCAATTCCGTTACATATTTGAGATTCCACTTGAACTATCAATAAAAGAAATGAAAAGCTCAATTTGTGAAACAAAACAAAAATCGAACCTATAATACTAAAATAGAAAAAAAACTAATAAATAATCGAGCAATGAAAAATATGATTTACCTAAGAAAAATGAAAACAAAGTAAGAAATCATAGCTATATTCGTAGTAGTTTCTATTGAAATGAAATATTATTTTAAATGTGTTTCATTCTTTTTTTTATTTCTATCATACAGATGGTATTTTAATCTTTATTGTTTTAATAAATAATTGTTCTCATTTTTATGCAAATGTAACGTGATATGGTCGGGGATTTTTTTAAAAAGCGAGTGTGATCGGATCTATTTCCTTTTCGTCCATACATACACTCACACCCTCCCTCTGATACTATGAAAATTTTCTCAAATTTTTCTTTGTTTAAATATTCGTTAGCTCATGACTAAGATTGTTTTTTTCTTCAATTAATTTTACTGATAATGATGGAATTTGTCTTAATCTTCTCTATAACATGCGATACTAATTTTCTTCTAATGACTGATGCGTCCTTCATCATTCATTTTCTAATTTTATCACACTATGACGTGTTTAGATTTGCATATTTTTTGTACTTTAATGGTATATTAATGAGTAAAAACTTTATTAACGTACCGACAATCGATTGTTCTTTCACTTATTCTTAACGATAAACAGAAAAAAAAGCATCCGTGACAAATAATCTCATTTTTTATGCACTGACAAAATAACTTATAGCAATTATCTTCATGGATGATTAAGAAAAGTATTTTGAAGAAAAAGAGATAAATGTTCTTAAGTCTAACAGTCTTCTATCATCCATTAAATGTGTTTACTATTATTTTACAACAATTTTCTATTTAATCGATCGATCTTCACACATTGAAAAAGAAAAACAAATGTCAAATAACACTGATTTAGTAAACTCTATCAACTACGCCACTATGCAAATTAATCGTTACGGACCTACATTTATGATTATCTTTGGTACATTTAGTAATATACTCAACATTTGTGTTTTAAGAGAACGTTCTCTAAAAAAGATTCCATGTACAATCTATCTTTGTTGGTCTTCGATATCAGCTATTGTATTTATCTGGTCAGGATTACTAACACGAACTCTCCAAGGGTAAGTATAAAGAAAACATTTTCGATTTAAAACCGTTTATGACGATATTTTAGGTATAATATCAATTGGCCAAATGAAAATCAAGCTCCTTGTAAAATTCGTCTATATTTGCTCAATATTAGTTGGGCAGTCGCTATTTGGGCTCTTGTTGGAGCAAATATTGATCGATTCTTGTGTAGTCATCATTCAGTTATTTACCGTCAATTGAGCACAGCTCAGTTAGCAGAACGTTTTCTAATGGGTATTTTTATTTTCTTTGCATTTGTGTTTATTGAAATATTCTATTGTGTGGAAGCAAAAGTTCCCAATGTTCCTGTCGCTTGCTATGGTCGAAATCTTCCTTGTCGAGTCATTAATGATTGGGTATATTTAGCAGTGGATATCATTTTACCAAGCATTATCATAAGTATCTTTGGTACATTGACTATTCGAAATGCTCGATTAAGAATCGTTCGTCCAATAACGAATTTAATTCACCAAATAGCTACAACAAAAAATAATATAGTATTAACACGAAGAAATGATCGTAATCTTACTCATATGTTATTTATTCAGGTTAGTTTATATATATTTTACAAAATTTTAAATAAAAGTAATGTTAAATGAATTTTTTAGGTATCATTTGTTTTCGTTTTGGATTTACCATTTGGAATTTATCGTTCATACGCTAGTCTGACGGCTAACTTACCTAAAAGTCAATATCGCGTGGCTGTCGAAAATTTAATATATGCTTTAATTGTTCTTCTCGTGTATTTTACCCATTCAACATCTTTCTATATATACACACTCACCGGTAAACTCTATCGTGCAACATTCGAACGTCTTCGACGTCATTACTTCAACTTCAATTCAATTTGACCAATACTTTAACAAATTCAAAAATTTTTAGTTTGTTTTCTTTGCTCATATTGATATGATTTTATCTGATGAATCATCAGCAAATACGAGACACTCACTTTCTTTAGATAAACGAAAAAATAACCAAGATGTCGCAATAATACATTGTGTCATTCTTTCATATTCTTGACGAATCATAGTCACCGTTTCTATGACTCAAAAATAAGAATGTCGTAGAATTGAAAATTACACATTAGTCAATGTTTCATCATTTTTTTTGCATTTCATTCTCTTTTCTCACAACTTCTTGATAATATTCGAAGGTTCTCGATTATACTAGAATAAACCGAGTTTAATACTATATAAAGAATGTGTCGAAAATATGATAAACATCTTCTATTATTACAAAATATTCATAGTATTAAATACAAATGGCTCGCGCAATTGGTATTGATTTAGGTACAACATATTCATGTGTTGGTGTATTTCAACATGGTAAAGTTGAAATAATTGCAAATGATCAAGGAAATCGAACAACACCATCGTATGTTGCATTTACCGATAGTGAACGTTTAATTGGTGATGCAGCTAAAAATCAAGTTGCAATGAATCCAAATAATACAGTTTTTGATGCTAAACGACTTATTGGTCGAAAATTCGATGAATCAACTGTACAATCTGACATGAAACATTGGCCATTTAAAGTCATCAATGAAAATGGTAAACCAAAAATTCGAGTTGAATATAAAAATGAAACCAAATCCTTCACACCGGAAGAAATTTCATCGATGGTTCTCACAAAAATGAAAGAAACTGCTGAAGCTTATCTCGGTAAAACAATTAAAGATGCTGTTGTTACAGTTCCAGCTTATTTTAATGATTCTCAACGACAAGCAACAAAAGATGCTGGTATGATTGCTGGTCTTAATGTATTACGAATTATTAATGAACCAACAGCAGCAGCGATTGCTTATGGTTTAGATACAAAATCAACAAGTGAAAAAAATGTTCTTATATTTGATTTGGGTGGTGGTACATTTGATGTATCTGTCTTAATTATTGATAATGGTGTTTTTGAAGTTAAATCAACAGCTGGTGATACACATTTAGGTGGTGAAGATTTTGATAATCGTATGGTAACACATTTTATACAAGAATTTAAACGAAAAAATAATAAAGATATATCACAAAATACACGTGCACTTCGACGATTACGTACAGCATGTGAACGTGCTAAGCGTACATTATCATCATCATCTCAAGCATCGATTGAAATTGATTCACTTCATGAAGGTGTCGATTTCTATTCAACAGTTACACGTGCTCGTTTTGAAGAACTTTGTGCTGATCTTTTTCGTTCAACATTGGAACCCGTTGAAAAAGCATTACGTGATGCAAGAATGGATAAATCAAGTATTCAAGAAATTGTCCTCGTTGGTGGTTCAACACGTATACCAAAAGTACAAAAATTACTTCAAGACTTTTTCAATGGTAAAGAATTAAATAAATCAATTAATCCAGATGAAGCTGTAGCATATGGTGCATCTGTTCAAGCAGCTATTTTAACTGGTGATAAATCTGAAGAAATTAAAGAAGTTGTTTTAATTGATGTTGCACCACTTTCATTGGGTATTGAAACAGCAGGTGGTGTTATGACAGCATTAATTAAACGTAGTTCAAGTATTCCAACGCGACAAACACAAATATTTACAACATATTCAGATAATCAACCTGGTGTTGATATAAAAGTATATGAAGGTGAACGTGCAATGACAAAAGATAATCATTTACTTGGAAATTTTGAATTGACAAAAATTCCTCAAGCACCACGTGGTGTACCAAAAATTGAAGTTACATTTGATGTTGATGCAAATGGAATATTAAATGTCTCAGCTGTTGAAAAATCATCGGGTCAAGAAAAGAAAATCACAATTAAAAATGATAGTGGTCGATTATCAAAAGAAGATATTGATAAAATGGTTTCTGATGCTGATAAATATAAAAAAGAAGATGAAATTCAACGTGAACGTATATCAGCGAAAAATTCACTTGAATCATATTGTTTCAATATGAAAACAAGTATGAATGATGAAAGTATTTCTTCAAGAATTTCATCGAATGATAAATCAAAAATAAATGAAACTATTGATTCAACTTTAAAATGGATGGACTCAAATCAATTAGCTGAAAAAGATGAATACGAACATAAACTTAAAGAAGTCGAAAAAATTTGTTCACCAATCATGACAAAACTTCATGGTGAAAATAATATGCCAAATGGTCAAAGTGCATCCAACTCAAATGGTAAAGGTCCAACCATCGAAGAAGTCGATTAAATAAATAAACAAAAATTTTTATGTATTCTAATCATATTTTTTTTATATATTCTGTGATAAATAAAACATTTGATAACAAATTCTGATAATCATCTTCTTAACTATTCATTTGTGTTACTCTAGCAGAAACGAGTATCATAATGACACCTTGTAAAGCAATGAACAAGTCATTCTTATATTAACAATGACAATTATAAACTACTGAAGAAAGAGAGGTGATCAATATACATTCTATAAATGACAACAGAATTAGCATCTTTGTAGGAGGAATTTATATGATTAATTTAGTAAATTGCAGACAATAGAAACAGAATTAGAAAGAATAGTTTTTAGTTTCAAATCATTTCTTTCATCTATTACATCTTTCTCTAGAGAAATAGTTGTCTCTCTCGCTATCAATCGTCCGTCGTGTTCATTATATTAAATTGTTGTAATTGGAACTGACCCGTTGACCGAACAAGGAAGAAATACGATGTATATTTATTTGTTCGTTGTTGACCTTCATGATCGACGTGCATTGTTCCGCTCACTATAAATTGTTTCATTATATATCTCATTTCACTCATTTGTTATTATCTGTTTGATTCGCAGTTGCAATGTATTCTTCCGTATTATTTCTTATTCTTATTCCACTCGTTGCTCAAGCGAGTTGGTTTGGGTTTGGTAACAAGAAGACTGAACCACCAAAGATCACCACAACCACTCCTTCTGTTCTAGCAGCACTTGTTACTACGATTAGTCCATCAACAAATGTGCCTTTCGGCTGGAATTCCAAAACCACTATGCAATCGTGAGTTACATTTATATCTCTTATTCTGCTTTTTACTGTCTATTTCTATTTATTTAGTTCCTTAACACCCATTACTGAACGTTGTGGTACTGCCATGTACGAACATAATCCAAACAATTATTATTGTGGTGCGTTTTCAAATAAACGTCGTAATGGACTTGGCATTCGCACATTTGGAGATGGTGCAACATATCTCGGTGAATATCATCTTGATGGAGTAACCGGTGTTGGTTACTGGTTGGAAAAGAATTCCAATCGATATCTTGGTGATATCGTTAACAAACAGAAAGTCGGAAACGGCTATTATATGTGGACTAATGGGTAAGTGATATTTTATTTCATATCGTACTCTTCATGATTATTTTTATTATTTTTGTAGTGATTCATATATGGGTTCATGGTATGCAAATAAGATGCACGGTGAAGGTGTATTGTGGTCGAAAAATGCCAAGGAAGTATACATTGGTTCATTCGTCAACGGTATTAAAAGCGGTCATGGTACACTTCTCTCTACAAATGGAAATGTGATCTATAAAGGATTATTTACTAATGACCATCCACGAAAGATGTAAACGAATTTCTTGTTTAATATTTTGTTAGTTTTGTTTAAATAAAAAATATTTATTCTCGCAAGAACACTGCATTATCAATAAAAATACACTTGAGGGTATGTGTGGGTGTTTAAACTTTCTATCCACACCCTCTCTAAAAACGTATGTTAAAAGGATCGATTAATCATACACTGCTTGTCTACATGGGTGATGGTATCTGCCAATGCAATTTGATAAAAATAAATCTTTTTAATACGTAAAACAACATGTACGCTACTCAGGCAGTTTTATCGAAGCGACAGAACAGAAAGAAAGATAAGAAAAGGAGATGGTTAGTTATTCACTGCGCTGTCGTCGTATTAAAAAGCACAATAAAAATGTCTTTTCTTACTGCTACTCTCGTCGCTTTGCTATTCGTTGTACTCATTGCATATATATGGCACATTCGAAAAGCTTACGATTTCTTCAGGAGACTCGGCATTCCCGGACCGACACCAACTTTTTTCTTTGGCAATCTTTCAGAAATTATTAAAGTTAAAGGGTGA